ATGCCCATTTTACAGATTGCATGCGACCGTGAAACGGCGAAAAACTGCAGTACCCCAAAAAAAGTCACGAAGGGGTTAAATCCCCATATGCATCTTGGGGTCGAGAGAGCTTCCTGACCAAAAAAACGGCCATCCACCCCGGCCGACAGAAGAGAGATGGCTCGGTTTGCTGGAGCTGTATCTGCAGGAGAGCGGCTAAGGGAGATCGTGAATTAGGAGACGTTCCCAAATCAGAGGCGCTTATACACTCACCTTGTTTTTTTGGGAGTCCATTATTTTGTGTGAATTCAAAGGTCTGAAATATATTTTTATTAAAGATTTATAAGCGAGTGATTTACTCATCTTTTTAGGGAATTTGTTTTTATTTTCTTATTAGGTCACTAACTTTAATACTTTTTTTTACTTGCTTCACTAATTCATTATTATTCATTTTTCACACTCACATGTTGTGAGATTCCTTTTAGGTCATTTGACCCTTTTCCGGTGCACAGGATTTCAATGTATTTAAATTTAGAAAACATTAGCTCTTTCCACTATGGTGGACTACATTCACTATTGTGAGATGTCCAAGGTCATCCGACCCTTTTCACCATTGTCCAAATGTTTTTTTCATTATTGGTTTATTACCATTTTGTTATTTACCATTCAGCTGTTCATGTTAGCACTTTTCATGTGTGTATTTTTTACTCATCCTCACCCTTAGTGCTGTGTACATTTTTCAGAATTTTCTAGGTTAAACCCCTTTTTTCATAGCGGCTTTGTGGTTGTTTAATTTTAGTTTTTCATTTCCAAGAGTGCAGATTTCATTCTTAACATACTAGACTGAATTAATGATATTTAACCTGGACTCACCTCCTTTCTCACTGTCATAGTGAGATGCATCAAACTGGGCATCATCATTAGGAAGCTGTACACTGGCAATCACAAGGTGATTCTGTTCATCAGAGGTATGAGTTCCAAGAACTAAGCGGTGGATACTGAAATCTTTTCCTTCAGGTCTGTAAAAATGTTAAATTGTTAGCCGATATACTATAGAAAGAGCAATAATCTGATCACAGCATCTTGAACTCCGTTACCATTAGTCTGGCTAAATAATCCTACTATTAAAACTGACTGTATGCCATAGCATGCAATAATTACTTTTGTGACATCTGAAAGTAGTAAGCTAACATATTTAGAATCATTGCATCCCCATCAGCGGGGAATGTCCCGGATGGGAGGAGGAATGGCGGTCACATTTTTGATTGTGCTTGGGTGAAATGAGTTTGTACCAAGCCCAGGCTCATCTCTAGTGACTGTGCACACTTACTGTACCAATCTATGGAGAAGGAGCATTGTCATCCAAAGAAAAGACTATTGCACACCTACTCCTTTATAACAGAAGGAGTTCTATAGTCTACAGCGACAGCAGGGAACAGATCATTTCCTGCTTGAGCTGCACTATCAACTTGAAGTTTCTGACATAATCAACAGGTAGTTTTTAAAGGGACACTAAACTCAGGAGTTAAAATTTAAAAATGCATTCAAGTACCTTAACTATTAACATAAATGTATCATATTTGTGTATCAGTCGGCTGTAGATCCTCAAATCTCCGAATTGGTGCCGATACGGTCCTTCCTTCTGGAGGGTGGCTACTTTTGTTCCCCATGGTCCCTTTGTGTGTTGTAAAGTAGACATCGCTCCAAGCTTGCTGCTGTGACGGGACTACAATCTCACTACAAAATGAGTAAACTAAACATGACATTGTAGTCCATCATGGGAATGAGCTTGGAGCGGTGACTACTTTACAACACACACACAGGGACCATGGTGAACAGTAGCCACCCTCCAGAAGGTAGGACAGTGTCGGCACCAATTCAGAGATGATTTGAGGATCTACTGCTGAGTGATACACAAATAAGATACATTTTTGTTAATAGTTAAAAGGTACTTGTGTGTATTTTTAAGATCTAAATTTAGTGCCAGTTTAAGTCACTTGGATGAATTTTAAGCTTGAACTCCTACGTTTAGTGTCACGTCAACCTATAGAATAGAGATATAACAAAACTGGAGTTCCAATACTCTACCTAAAGCTAAACATTTTGGTGGTAGATATACTGAAATGGAGATTGCATAATCAGATTGTAACATGTAGCGTCTGCTTTCCATAAGCAAGACCCTTGGTGGCAGACTCACCTGGTTACATCTGGGAGCCACTGAGCTGTTAGACTGGGCCACTCCAGGGCATGGGTCATTACCAAATCATAGAGGAAAGGAGTGTTCTTCTTCCAGATTTTGTACTCCTCATTGATGACACGTTCCTCCACGGCATCATCGAACGCAGCTATGTCCGGAAACAGAAGACACACATAGTATTAAAGTCCATCCAAAACTTTGAACTCCTCCTAAAGTGGACAGTCATTTTCATTGCAAGTCAGCATGTTTAATATCCTAAAAGTAATTCAGTTGACCTCTTTTTAAAGTGACATTAAAGGCAAAAAAAAAATTCCCTCACCCCAACGTTAATGAAAGCACTTACCTTAAATGATGTCTCTCGATCTTTCCTGTAGTTTTCAGCCTTCTCTCCAGCGCTGACTCCTCAGCTTGCTGACACTTTCTGTCCCACGGTGTCTGCATGCAGGTGCACGCATCCATACTTACCTTGCGTCTTTCCTCGCGTCCCAGCCGAAAATGTGAAGTGCGCATGCGCCCGCCCCAAGATGCTTTGCGGCCACCCGTGCAGTTTCAAATTTTTGGACGGGAGTGTGCAGGGAAGACACAGGTACGTTTAAACCGCTGTTGAAGCAGGTTTAAAAAAAAATAAAAAACTTTTTGCATATATCTACTGCTAGCTAGCAGTAGATATATGCAAAAAAAGCTGAGGGTTTACAAATCCTTTAATAGTAAATGCATCTGGATTTCTGCACTTTACTAGAGAGCTAAACCCTAAGCTCCTGCAGACAGAACAATGCTGCTGTCAATCTTTAGTGCTGTGGGCAAAGCCAATCGTTACTTAGCCACAAAATATAAGCAGATACAAGGATGACAACTCTGGAATAATTTCACTGCAGGAGTTAGAATGTTGACATATCAAGGAAGTGCCTATTGAGCAGTTCTTGTGGCAGGATCAACAGGTATTCCATTGGACTTCCTAAAGACAAATCCTGGTTTTACTGTAAAGGAGTCTAAAATGAGACCATGGTTCTACTTTAAGTATTCTGAAGCACATGGACGTGAGGAAGCTAGTAATAAAAACTCTCACCCGGAGGCTGTGCCAGCCACCTCATTTAGATGTGCCTAGAAGCCTCAGACACAAACCTATTACCACAAAACTGCTTATCCTGAGACTCCTAGCCTGCCCTGCGCCGTGAGGGCTCTATGTACAGACGTGCCTTCACCTATCAACTTTCTCACCACTCACCTTCCTTGTCCGCCATAGTGCTCTCTGAAAGCAGATGTTGTCCTCTCCCGTTTGCTCCAACTCGCAGGCTTTCTATCGCCGGTCGGTGCCCCGGTTCTCAGGCTAGCTCCTTAACAGGATCCCGGGCGCTCCGGCCTGCTCCTCCTGCTATTGTTTCCCGCCTCCCCCGTGTCTCAGAGTCGCGCACCTTCGCGCCAACCCGAACCAATCAGAGGCGAACTACGCGACGAATAGAAGCCTTTCGTCGCCAGAGTGGGCGTTTCCTGCAGTAGGACATGCGGGATGGAGGCGTGCGGGCCAGTAGGCGAGACCTGGCGTTTCCATGGCAACCCAGGGGAGCGGTGCGCGGGAGCCTCGAAGGAGGGCATGAAGCAATTGATGATCGTACTCGTAGTGGGATAGGTTTAGATAAGCCAGAGTATACGTGTAGTAATACCATAAACAATCAGTGTCTTATTTCAATGATAGTTAAATATTATTGGTTGCTCTTGGCAAGCAGCTGTAGTTAAACTTTGTGTTCGCTGTGTAGCAGCCTCCTTCTAATTATACTACTAAACTGTTCCCCATCGCTATGTGTTACCTTAGCTTAGCCGCTCGGCTATTTCCGTAACCGCTCCTCCTCCCTACAGCAGCATCTGAATCTGCATAGCCCCGCCTCTCTCGAAGCTCCGGCTTTATGTTAGATAGAAATGACAGAGTGTTTTTTTTCTCCAAAGATTGTGACTGGGTTGAAATGTGTCACTGGTAACGTGGTCACACATTTTAACGTAATCACACCCATTTTTTCCGGTGTTAAAATATGTGACTGGCAAAAGGTGAATAATTCCAACGCTTTCTCAGCTGTTCCAGGGCAGATCGGCATTGCAGAGGAACCGATCTGCCCTGGAACAGCTGATCGGTCCTGAAATGTCACTTCTATCCAACTTTGTGGAATGTGAGATCGCAGTCACAAAGTTGGATAGAAGTGAGATTTAAGGATCAATCAGCTGTTCTAGGGCAGATCGGTTCCCCTGCACATACCATCTGCGATGCCGATTTGCTCTGGAACAGCTGAGAAAGCTTGGAGTTCTACACCATTTGCAGATCACATATTTTACTGCAGAAAAAAATGGGCGGTATTACGTTAAAATGTGTGACTACGTCATCGGTCACATTCTATCACAGTCACAAACTTTGATAGAACACATGAGCTTCGAGAGAGGCGGGGCTATTCAGATGTTGTAGGGAGGAGTGGTTACGGAAATAGCCGACTGGCTAAGGTAACACATATTGACGGGGGATCAGAATTCGACACAACAGTTTTTATGCGAGCTTGAGACGTCAGAAAGCGACAATGCGTACTCGCATTGCGTAGTCTCAATGTGTAGTTATATACCACTTTAGCAGCTGTTCGTGAGTCCTTAGGTGCTAGATCACTTAACATCGCCCACGTGTGGCCACTTGCAGTGGCAACGTCCCCCAGAACTAGCAATGACGAACATTATTATAGGCTGGTACAGAATCGCTACTCGGTCACAAGCGCAACATGAAAAAATGGCAGCCGCACTAAACTTAATCCGGAAATCCGTTCACGTGACCGGAAGTGGCGCCAGTGAACCAGGAAGTGAGTGTTGTGAAATTCTTCAGACATGGACGAGCGTTATTACACGATTTCTAAGGAACAAGTGGCCGTGAAGGCGAAGTACCCGGCTGTTATCAAGAAGCACGAGTGTGTGTACCTGGCTCGCTTATGAAGGAGGGGCAGCGGGGACTTTGTATGGACATATGTTAAAACGTGCCACTTGTTGCATTGTCGCAAAGCAGCGCGTTTACGTTAAAATGTGCCTATGTGACTGTTTTGTTTTGTTGGATAGCCTGGTGACGAATTAGAACGCACGTCCTCACTTGGTAGATTTATTCTCTAACCAGTGTCATCATTACTGAAAGTAAAAAGCGGGTATAGGGGGAAAATCTTCCAATGGGTACCCTAGTTCTGGAGACAACTTTCTCAGAGGGGAGATGTTAATCTTTTAAAGAATTATGAGGTGAGTGATTTTCACTTAGCCTCATAATCTGAGCCAACCTGTGACAATTAAACTGTCACAGGTCGGCTCAGTAGATCAGGATGTGAGTGAACACATACCGGCGCTCGCTCACTTCTCGATCCTGTGTCGGCAGAGAGCCGTGACAGGGGACGGACTGGATTCCCCCGCTCCGATGCTCCAGTGCTGACTGGCGGAATGGGAGGCGGCGGGTACAGCTGGCTCTGCCTCTAGATAGGCAGAGCCAGCTGTCACTCACGCAGCTGGGTGGATCCAGACATAATGGTCGGGATCCGTTTCGGCTGCGGCGTCTCAGTATACCTCGAGCTGTAGCTCGCGGTATGCTGAGCTTTGAGTGACTGGAGGACGCTAATTTGTGTCCTCCCGTTGCCCTTAGGAGAACTATGGGGAAAAGCCCTAACCCCATAGTTCTCCTTTAATTAAAAAATGGCTTTTAAATAGGGATGGCGCAGAAATTGGTACTATGGGCAAAATGCAGATAGTACAAAAACGGTCTAAAATTCTGTGTCAGCAGAGGCATCGGTGATCGGAGGGGACACAGATCCGGTGCCCAGTGGTGAGGAGAAAGCTGCCAGGGGGCTGAAGGGGATGGAGTTTCAGGATAGTTAAATGTTTATTGATCCTTCCCTGTACTGAGCAAACAGAGTGATCAGTAGTGATCACTCGGTGTTTGGAAATAACTGAGGTTGAATTGATTACTATGTCCCCAGTTATGAATGAACAGGAAGTGCTCTACATCACCTTCTGTTCGTTTATAAATGGGGACATTGTAAACATTTACTATCTGCTCACTTTATGAATAAACAGGATGCAGCTCAGTACAGAGGCTTCCTGTCCATTCATGACTGGGTTGATAGTAAATATTTATCTCCTGATTGTGAATGAACAGGAAACCTCTGTACTGAGAGCTTCCTGTCCCTTGAGTGCTGGGGCTGCAGAAAAAGAGATTGAGGACTCTTGTGTTCCCAATCTCTTTTTCTATTTTAAAAGGGAAATATCAGGGGTCTGTTGGACACCTAATATTTCACCTAAGAGTAAAGTGAAAAAAAAAAACCCATAAAAATAATTTAAAAACAAATGTAAAACCTTTGAAAAAGGTTGGAAAAATGTAATTTTTGGTTTTGGCATAACAAATTTTGAAGTTTCGGTCTAAAAACGTCATTTTGGTGCATCCCTACTTTTAGATATTTTATGTAACTTTTGGCCATTTGCACTGTAAACATAAACATTGTGGGAAATGTGTGGCAGCTGCTGCGTGTTAAACGCCTACTTTCATTCCCCTCATACAGACCGTCCGGGCACAGAAACTTATATTTTTGTTCTGGAGTACACAGATCAGTGGGTTGCTCACGCTGCAGCTCATTCACTCCAAAAAGCCTTGCATTATTTTTGTTGCATGCAAGGTGTTCTGTGATTGGACGAGAGAAGATGATTTATGTTCACCCACACCTCCACTCAAGAATGAATACAAGATGTTTTCAAAACAGATGAGCTGCAGAGTGAGCGACCCGCTGTCATCTGTGTACTCCAGCCAGCGATTCGTCGCTGACTGTACTGTATGAGGGGGATGAAAGTAAGAGTATTACATAAGGCAGCAGCTGCCATACATTTTACACACATCATTAGTGTTTATTTTTACAGTGTAAATGGCCAAGAATAGTATTTGTACAGAGTTGAGCTTTAGAGTAGTAGTAAACTCAAACATTTTTCAGTAATACATCCAGATCAAATAAATATACATTGCTCTGCCAAGTGTTACTTTAAATTTTTGCCCCAACACTTAGTCATCATGTTGCTGAACAGCTCCAACTCTCTTAGCTCAGCTTCCCTAAACTTCCAGTTGCATACAAGATCACAAGGGAGAGCACAATCTCCAGCAGCTGTCCATCTACTAGCCCGGATAAGGGATGATTAATGGAGTGGGGAGCAGGAAGCAGGGTAGTGTTGTACCTTTCTGAGACTGTGAATATTGGAGCAGTTGCCCATAGTAACCAATCAGCTTCCATTTTTAGTTCTGTTAAACTTTGAAAATGAAAGAGAGAAGCTGATTGGTTGCCATGCACACCTTTTCCAGACTTTGTCTACTCCAGTTTTGAGAAATCCCCCTCACTGTATATAAGTTACCTTGGTTTCCTGTGCAGCTTGTTTACAAATGTTCCAATGCTAAGAAATTGCTATAATGTTAACACCTAATGGGTACATTTCATGCATAGCTGTCTGTTCCGTCAGCATGTAATAATGTATCAGCATATAGCTCAACAGAATCTGTAAAGCCCTAAATATTCAGATAAGTTCTCCCACTGCTGGAAATCCACACTCCAATATTATAAGGGAATGCGTTTGCTGGTAGTCAGACTTTGACTGGAGTAAGGCGTCCAAAGTCTACAATGTAACTAAGTTCATTGTTTTGTCTTTCAGATTTGGATCACACTGCAGATGTTCAGTATGTACCTTTTATTTATCACGCCTCCTTTTTACATGTCTTCTTTGACATTTCTTAATAAAGGCCAACTCCAGACAGTTGTTACATCATAAAAATTGTGCCCCCTCATCATTTTGTCACAGAGATGATTGTCTAGCACGGAACAAAATATTAAGCTGGCCATACGCCTATAGAGTATCTGCAGATTTTCTACGGTCAGATGGAAAAACTGCACTTTTTCCATCTGACCATAGAAAATCTGCAGATATTCTATAGTGGTATGGCCAGCTTTTCCAATTCTGGATTATTTTGCTGCTCTAATAGCTACATGATGTTCTGAGGCACTAATATGGACCTAGTGTGTACTCAAGAGTCACTATAACTACAAATATTGTCTTCTGTAATTGTATGTGGTTAATACCTGTAATAGTTTTTAATATATGAATACCTTTTTTTGTATTTTAAATTTTCTCCACATTTACATATGACTGTTACAGGGTTTTCTATATAACATTAGCAGAGGTGCTTACACATCTGCTGCATGATTTCACTGGACAAAGAATATTGTTGTAGCCTTGTCAAAGGAAGTGGGAAGGAATACTACTGGCAGGATCACCAGATAATAAAACTGTTCCAGGGGGACTGGTAGTGACAGTCTACATCATTGTTATGCATGTCACATGACACTGATTCAGAAAGTATCAAAGCCAGAGAGTAGTATTAGAGGTCAGCACTGGCAGCCCCATATGCCAGTTCTCACATGTTATCTGTATCCTGTCTCAGCAGCTCAGATTGTTGTACGTTTTGTGCTTTCTTCACCCCAGCCACGCACAGGAAACAAGTGCAATTAACATTTGTGCTGCTATAGTTCTATTAGCAGACACAGTAGCAGCTTGACATGAGGGATATACACTGAGTGGCCAGTTTATTATGACCACCTGACGTTTGTAGGCAAATTAGCTAGAATTTCGCGCTGAAGTTGCTAGAGGGCCAGACCATTATAAATAGGGAAGCAGGTTGTTTACCACGACAGTAGAAGTGATTTTTTCCTGAACATATGGGTAAACAACGCGATTTAACAGCCTCTGAACGTGGGATGATTGTTGGCGCGGAGCCATGGAGCGAGTATCAGCAAAACAGGAGAATTAATTAAATGTTCAAGACGGGCTCATTATTAAAGTGTTTAAAGACTGGACTGTCAGCCGAAAATCTGGGTCTGAACGTGCGAATTGTGGCCGTCAGCGACTAGTCAATGGTAGGGCAGAACGGAGAGTGGCAAGACTGGTACAAGACAACAGAAGGGCAACAGTGCAGTGTCAGATTCCTCGCATCACCTTTCAACATCACGTGGAGTCACGAGGCGGCCCAACAAAGTAATCTCGTGGAGTCATCTCGTGGCCCAACGAAGTACTGATGGAGTGGTCATAATAATCTGGCCACTCAGTGTATAGAAAGGGGATTCCACTCTTGTAAGCTGAAAAGTCATGTGATCCCTTCTAAAGGTTGTATGCTTAGAAATTAAGAAATGTAACCTAGTCAAAAATATAGTTTATGTTGGTTGACTAATGCATTTCCTTTCCGTGTGTCTCTGATGTAGGCTTCATGCATGGGGAGAAACTTTAGAAGAAGCCTTTGAGCAATGTGCCATGGCAATGTTTGGCTATATGACTGACATTGAGACTGTAGAACCCATAGACACAGTAGAGGTGGAAGCGGAAGGTGAGGCAGTCTAAAATCGTTTTATAACAAGCCTATACTGTACATTTAACATGCATTCAAAATGTTCTGTGCAGAAATGGTGTATGCTGAGCTATACCACGACCTTATATCCTTTCTTAGGACAAGACCTGCTTTCACTTTTATACAATTTCCTGGACGAGTGGCTGTATAAATTTAGTGCTGACCAGTACTTTGTTCCCCGGGTGAGATATTTCTTTATGAGTCTTTATAAAGCCCTAATGATGTTCTGCATTCTGAAAATAATGGCTTTCTTTTTTTATATAGGAGGTGAAGGTGTTGTACATAGATCGTATGAACTTTAAAATCCGTTCTATTGGGTAAGTTTTTTTTTTTTGTTTAAAAATAGTATAGATAACGGTTGTTGACACTCAGCTATTTAGCAGCTATAGAAATGAATTGAGCTCTGTCTGTACAGTATATATGGTTTGCAGTCTTGTCAGGTATTTTATAATGGCAAAAGTTGTAAACCAGGAAGGAGTTATAGAACAAGTGAACTTTAAAAAAAAAAAAGAGCTCTGCAAGTCAGTAAGTTTGCAAATATACGTTTTTAGTTTATTGTTGAGAGATCCTTGCTGGGATTATTAGTGATTCTACCAGTTCAGATTTCATGGCTGATAGCCATTTGTAAATAGAGTTTTATTAGAGTTTTATTAAAGTAAGCCTTTGTGGTATCTCTGATGTGCATGCTCATATTCTTTTTTCTGTCTTCCAGCTCTAAGCAACCTTGGACACTCTGGCTGGTGTCCCTCCCAGCTCCTGGTAACCACTGACGTCACTGGTTGCCAGGAGCTGGGCGGGACCCCTGCCAGAGTGTCCCAGGTTTCTAAGAGCTGGGCGCGGAAAAGCACCGCCTGCACACGGCGGCATCACTCTTGGGCCTGGCAGCACTGCGTCCTCTATACCTTACACATCTCGCTGTCAAAATCTTAGCAACCTTGAATGTCCTGGCCAGAAAGGGGGCAGCAAGCACACTGCAATCATTGTGCAGCAGAGCAGCCAGTATACAACATTCTGCTCTACCTGCCGACCCCCACCATGACCCAAAGAGATGTCTCATTAAAGGGCCCTGGCTACAGAATTGCTCTACTTGGTGTTTTTTGTTGCTGAGAAAAGAAGAGTTTTAGGTATTGACAAGTCTGTGTCTCTGAAATGTCAAGCAGTTTGAAGATCAATCACTGAGCTACGGGCTATGCGTATTGTGTTTTACCCTGGAGTTGGGCTTTAATTTGCATCATGTTACAAAAGTATTTTTCATTAAAAATGCTAATTGTTTTTCCACAGGTGGGGGGAAGAATTCAATTTATCCAAACACCCCCAGGTAAGTGTTTCTAATCTGGATTTTAGGAGTGCAGATTTATTTGGACAAAAGTTAATATATAGTCAGAATGCCCTGGAGATATTCTAGCACACTCATACTGCTATTGCCTCAGTGTCCCATTAATATAAACCTTTTGAAAATAAATGTGAAACCAGCCGTTGAGTTTGGATAGTTTTTCAGAGATGTGCAACTTAGATTCCCCTGCAGTCTTGTAAATGTACTTTTTGCTTTTACTGTACTGTTCAAAATGAGCATACATAAGTATTTGTTCTTATTATATCTTTCTCTTTTGACAGGGAACTGAGGTAAAAGCAATTACATATTCAGCCATGCAGGTCTGTGAGGAGGAGAAGCCTGAAGTTTTTGTCATCATTGATATTTAACATGTGAATGGTTACAGAAAAATGTACTTCCATTTTTTTGCAGTCTAATCTGGAAGAAAAATCCACTATATGTTCCTATTCACACATGTACCTCCAAAATCTTTTTTTTTTCTTGCCTGGCCTTTTTTATGGCACAAGCTACAATTTGAAAGTGGAGAGGGACACAGGGGCGACAGACTGTTTTCTCTATTTAACATACAAATCAGAACACAAGCCCTGAGATATTTAACCCTTTGTTAGGGCAGGCAGTGTTCAAATCTACCACAACTGATGAGATCTGCCAGCACAGTACAGACAGGGTTGATTATCGTAAACATGGACTCCTCAGCTCCCTCCCCCTAACATTACATTGCGGGGGGGGGACAGTTTTCAGAAAAGAGTGAATAAAATGTAAGCTGCAAATTTTAAAAAACATTTAGGTTCTACTAGGAATAGGGACACGTAACGAATATGACATAGGTGTTATCTTATTTGGCTTTTATAAGTGGATTTTTTTTTAGCTCACACCCCTCTCAAATAAAGACCCATAAAAGAAAAATAAATACAAGTAAATCAAAAAAATACCTCCTTTGGACACCAACAACCAGTTGCTTGCTGAAGGTGCCAGTGACATCAGTGTACTTCACTGCTTCCTCCTAAAGAGTACTCACAATGCACTCCAGCACAGTACAAGAGGGGAGGAGGAGCTTTCAGATAAGCAGACCTTGCAATTTATTGCACACCAGCACTGGAAAAAAAAAAATGAAGGATGCCATACTTGGGGTTATTGGCCAAGAACAAGCATGCAGCAGAGGGAGTCAAATCTCATGTTGTGCATACTTATTCTATGTTAGGATTGAAAAACTTTGATCAGGAAAGCTAAGCATCTGGCGTTTAAGACAGCAGTAGCAGCCTCCGTGTTCCACACATGACGGATATCCTTGTAAAAGCACTGATACTTGCATACATCTCTGAATTAACTCCCATTTAGAATGATCTGTCACACTACAACCTGAGAGAAATTAATTTGGAAGATTGTATCATGCTACAATGTTTGTACTTGAAACCATTTTTTGTTGTTGTTATAGCAGGTGTTGGAATTCACTTGCTTTTATCAAGGAAATATATATATATATATGAATAATTTATTTAAATTATTTTTAGCCAACTGTGTACAGCATTATTTTCTCCTTGTGGAAATTTGGGGATGTAGAATTAATTTATGCACAAAGCAAAATATCTAAGCTTGGGATGCACTGATACCATTTTTTTCTAGACCGAGTACAAGTAACAATACATTACTCTTCCTCAAGTACTCGCCAATACCAATTAGTGATACCATTTATTTTTTTTGGCGTCATGTGACAGTTTTTCTAAAGCAATACAGACTAATGATTTTAGGACAGTGGCGGAGTACCACCACAGCTGCAACCCTGGTAGTTCTGCCACTGACTCTACCGATACTAGCATCGGTGCATCCCTAAGCTGTATTCATACTTTTGCAGTGTGTTGTGTAAGGGAGCCCATAGTACATGGCAACATGAGTTTTAATAGACCTGCACTTTTTTCTTCAACACCGTGCACCTGCACCACAATGAAGATGGTTTGCATGTGTTGTAGTGCACTAAGAAGCAGGGCCATTGTGGTGCAGTGCCATAAACAATTAATAATGCAATGTATTGCAACAACACGTGTTTGTTCAGTGCAGAGATACAGAGATATGAATCTGGATTAACATTTTTACACTCAAGACTGATATTTCAGTGTGGAAAGATCAAAGTTTCTACATCCCCCTGCTGGCTATTGTCAAGCCAATGGAACCCAGTGGCAAGAATGAGATACTCTTGTAAAGACTTACAGGGTTATTCACAAAAGGGTGAAGAGTTTAGGGAAGGCAGGAGAAGTGAACAATCTAGGACAACATAGATGATTTGGAGAATTTTTCCAAATCGGCTATAATATAGAGATTGTTAAATCCAAACTCTTCACGCTTTTGTGAATAACCCTGATAGATGAGGCACTATCGTGTTCCCAAAGAAATCTAAGGGTATTTCAGTCAGTTTATAGACCTTTCATAACATAGTAAACAATGTAATTGCTGTCAGAGGCTAGCAATGTAATGATCAGCATTTACAATGCATGGTATGTAAAATGTATAATCCTTCATAACACAAACATTCAGAAATATTTAACATCTCATAATTATATTGAAAGCTTCAAATATGAACATACTGTATATTTTACAGCAAGGTAGCTTCTTGCACTGATGAAAACAGTCTTTGAATATGCAAGAGCTAAATAAAAAGCTAGGTATTTACAGTTTAAGTGCTGCAGCAGCCATGAGTGATATGAATGTGGAACCAACTAATGAAATGTCACTTTCTAAGCGGCAAAATGGTGGCTGCTAAATAAAGTGTGATGGTGCACAATTGTCAAAATAAACAAATGTGTATATACATAAAATCACTATACTAAATATCACCATCTTACTCTCAGAAATATTCTGTACACCGAGCATAGCAAAGTCCTTTCCCCCTTCCAGCACTTATGTGATTTGAGATTTCACATCATCCTCATCGCTGTCTTCCACCTCTTGAATTACCAGATCTGAATCTTGACGTTCCTTGCCATTTTCATCTTTCACATCGTCCTTGAAATGCCAGGCTTGCTCCCGCTCGTGCTCAGGTGGGAGCACCAGTGGTTGATCATCCCCAAAATCAAAGTTGACACTATCCAGACCAGCTTCCGAGAGACATGGGTGACAAAGACGATATCTTCTTGTCCCATCCTGAATTACTCGCCCTGTCAAATCAGTGACGGGAAGCTTGCATCGTCGGCAGATAAGCTTACCAGCTTCGTGTATCTAGGACATTTAAGGGTTGGGGAAGAAAGGATATTTATTATAAACATATGCGCTAAGGAAAACAGCAGTGTTTTGCCAGAAAAGAATAGAAGCCCTTTTGACAAATATACTCCATAAAACTGGCCATACACCTATAGATTATCTGCAGATTTTCTATGGTCAGATGGAAAAAGTGCAACAGATTCCTCCATCTATGCTAAACTGTGTGGATGGAGGAATCTGTTGCACTTTTTCCATCCTACCATAGAAAATCTGCAGATAATCTATAGGTGTTTGGTCAGTTTAAAAGATGCCCATACACTGCACGATTCTCGTACGAGGATCGCGGGAAATCCCGCGATCATACGATAATCGTGCAGTGTATGGAAGGCGTGCCACCGTTTCTACTGTACGGTCGCACATCTTCCGTCGAACCAGCATGCTAGAAAACCCGCCGAGAATCGTAGGATTCTGGGCGAGTTAGTGGCCTGCTGGTTCGACAACTACCGAATGGGCCGGTGTGCGCACACTGCCCGTTTGCAGTCATCGTAAGCCCGCCCCTCGGGGGCGGGCTTGCGATGATCACAAGTACGATCTGCCTGTCCAAGATGGACAGATTGTACATTTTTTTAAAGTACTTTACAACCCTCGCAAGTCAAAAGTCTTGCGAGGGTTGTAAACTGTATGGGCACCTTTAGAAAGAACAGAGATTAAGAAATGGATCAACGAGAGCTACCTTCAATATATGCAGAAAGAGAAGGGATACTACATACATACATCTACACATTTTATACTGTAATCTACAAACCTACTAATTACTATATTTGATACCATAAAAATATAGAAAGGTACGCATTTAAAAATAATGGCATATAAAGACTAATAATATGAAATATTAGAATATAATGCATCAAACTATGTAAAGAAATACATTATACTTTATTCTTCAAGTATATCTAAACCCAAGAACAAAAATTAGATATAGAAGGCCAAGAACATTTTAAGCAGGTACAGAAAATACCCGTTGATCTTGCCAGAAATGTCCTTTTAAGTTCCAGTGAACTGAAAGTAGAAAATTATCTTTCTTGTATAAACTACTATTCCCATCAGTTTACATGTGCCTTTAATTTGTAAACTTGCTTTTTTTTCCATTTAACTTTAATAGACATCAATCACCGCATTCAGATCGGAGGGGAGTGCTGACCTCCCTTCGATCCCTGTGCAGAGACTTGCCGTGTGCCCGCATGGGTTACAGCGGAGCCCGGAATAGCTGGCAGGAGGGCACACACTCCCACACACCATGCAAGCAATCGTTTGTATGTGACAGCCGTCGTTGGCTGTAAACAGTGTTCACGCGCACAAGCGGAAGAGGATATTAAAAAACAGCCACCTGCTATTAAGGGTCCGCTATCCGGTCGTTTATTTACAATGGCCGGACAGGAAGCGGTGAATACACTTGTGCAGTCCTTGCTGATGTTTGCTTGTGGATTAAGATAACAATGGATATACTGAACAGAAAATAATGTTTATGTTGTCTCTGTTTTGAGGTTTCCTAAATGTATATGAATGTTATGTAAAATATGCTAAACATAAACAAGTCATTTGGTTATCATTAAACACATACAGTTTGGAAATGGTTGCGCAGGTGCTCCAGCCGTGTGAACCTCTTCCCACATGCTTCACAAGGATACGGACGCTCTCCAGTGTGGCAACGTAGATGACGTTTAAGATCCGCTTTGCGTTTCACAGTATGTGTGCAGAAGGGACATTTAAACCTCACAAGGTGCAAACAAAATAGGTTTTTATTTGTTTTGACTTTTTAAAATTGTATACCAATTGTGGTGCAGACCCAGTGTACAGTTACAGCATCAATTAAGCCGATAATGCAAATCCAACAAGCATTACATTATCAGTGTCTGTCCAAGAAGACAGTAGACCCAGAAGAAGATGATAACACGGCACCTGCAGGGACAGAGTGGATGTGGGGAGCTCGGGAACTCACATTGCTATACCAAAATCATTATTAGCACACACAAATACAGCATAACTTCCAAAATTCCTACTAAATCTACACGAGAAAACTATATTAATGTAAATAAATAACCATTACTTGTAAATGTTAAATTGTGCCTTTTTGCAAAATGGTGAAAGTATGAAGGAATGCAAAATTGTAAATAAACAAATGTAAGCCAACAACCTGGAGACGAGCATCACCCCATCATGTAAGGCGTGATCTGCAGTGTCGTGAGTTGCCGTGCCATTGGTCTTAAATGGCACCCTAAAGCACCTTCCCAGCGCACTACATCATGTGTGCATTTCAGCGCACAACAATACACATTTGCAACAATGTACAAAAAAAAATGCTTGTTCAAAAGGAATGGGCTTAATGCACATTAATGAGACACTGAGACTTTATCCATTCTGGACCCAGAGATCCCCTTAACCCACTGATACTCCTTTCCATTGATCCCCCGCTGCTCCTTCCTTTGTTGCAGCTGCCACAAAAATACCCCATTTTGGTTATTGACGCACCAGAGCCTAGAAGGAACTGTGACATCACTTCCTCCCTCATTTGACAGTTCTCGGGCTTAGTGATTCGCTGCTAAACCCAAGCACTGTTACATCGGAGGAGGTCACATCCTTCCCCAAAAGCACATACACTGGATATACTTCCTTTGATCTTCATATAAAGTTGAAACGGTATAAATACTAAGAGGGTTATTCACAAAAGGGTGAAGACTCTGGAGAAGGCAGGAGAAGTGAACAATATAGGACAAAATAGCTGAACTGGAAAGTGAGCTGAATTGGAGAATTTTTTTTTCAAAGTCAGCTATGTTGTCCTAGATTGTTCACTTCTCCTGCCTTCTCCAAACTCTTCACCCTTTTGTGAATAACCCTGAAAGTAATAATGTAAACATAGGTCACTGGCAATTTATAAGAAATGCAAAGTAACATTGTTATTTGTCTGTATCTCTTCTGAGTCCATGCTTGCAATCAGCTGCTCCCGGTATATTACTTTAAAGCCCCCAACCTCAAAATGACAGCTGGGAATTGCTGGTAAGAGCCGTGGGGACCTGCAGGAAGAGGCACGGGACAGGGGTTAAAGGGGGACATGGCTGCAGCCATGTGGATTTGATTAGCAGATATTTGGATGACATCTATGGAGCTGCATAGATGTTTTAGCCAGTCGGAGAAGCTGGTGAATAGAGGGGAGCACAAAGGCAAAGTTGTGAATGGATCACATTCACAGAGCTGTGCAACTATTGTAGACTGCAAGTGAGCTTGCTCAGGAAGGGTGACCACAGAAAGGGGCACAGGAGGGGACACGGTAGACGGCTATTTGTTTGCCCGATCTTATTCACAAAGCTGTGTACAGGATCTGCCAAGTTTACACATTGTTTAGATGTGATCACTCACATCCAGTAAAAGACAAGGGGTCAGGTACTATTAAGTGTAAATTCATGGTCACTGACCATTAACTTACAGGTTCAGGAATGCAGCAGGAGTAAAGGTCACTAAGCCAGCCTACTGCAAGCACTTCTGTTCTGACGCAGCACGTACGTCAGTGGGAGAAAAAAGCTTAATGCAGGCCAAGCATTGGGAGCTCAGTTGCACAGGCCGCTGGGCAACTTCAAATCCCCCATTTCCCCAGTTTTCACAACAAAAGGGGTTAACTCTGTTGGACTGAACGCTGACATCATCCAGTGGATAAAGTGTCGTGCATGTGTTCAGCACTCTTTACCATCATACAGCACAGGGGATGCATCTTCCTGCTGCTGTTCCTGCTTACAGAAGAGCTGCATGGATCCTTGATTCTTTCCTGCTGCTTACCTACAGAGACCTTGGTCATCTCTGGCCCTCCGACCCTCACTTGCTACCAGCACCTGGAGACTAAGTTGCCTTACAAATCTCAGCAATATATTATACAGTAATGCAGAATGGCATTGTGATGGGGCTATGAAGGGTCTCAGAAGGGCTGTGCGGGGTCTCAGGGGGCTGTACATACATACACACAGTATGTGATATTGTGATGTTATTTTAACATTTTTCCTAAATATACACAATTAATTGTACAACATGCATCACATGATCTGAAAATTAAAAATGACTACCATGCTCTTAGCAAGCAGTTATCTTCTCCCTGCACAAGAAACATGAAAAACAATGTGATTGGTTATTTTGGCTAAAGCAGTTTATTTTTCTGACACTTTAATGCCCACTACTGTTGCCCTTAGCATAAGAATCAGCGGACAGGATACATAAAATCAAATTTTTTAGGATTTAAGAAAAAACACGACGAGTCTACTAAGCTGTTCCAGGGTTAGGGTTGCTTTGTCGGCCGGATTTTATATACTTTACATGTGAGTTACTATTTTTAATCAATTTCAATGCTTTAATGTACTGCACCATGAGGGCTCTTTTTTCTTAAATCCTGAAAACCCTGTGAATCTCTGAGAAAAGGCCCGCTGGAACCGCGCTCAGGAGAAATTGCCTCTGTGTCTGAAAGACAGCTCCAGCACTGCAGAGAACAAACTCCCTTCTTGCTGGGTTTCAACGCGGGAAGAACCCATTTCAAAGCGGGGCAGGACCGTGGACCAAACCGTCACGAATCTTAGAAATGTGTTTACTCACTACGTTCTGGTGAGTACCCATCAATAGGGGGGCCGTTGAACTAAACTAAACTGAAAGTGATCAACAAAATATCTGCTTTGTGTCTTTTTCTCCCGACTTCTAATATCGCCCACTGAACACTGTTCTCTTTTCATCTGACAAACCTCACTTCAAGATTGCTACTTTAAGATCAGCCTAAGATCGATACAGACTGTCGATCTCCACTTTGTGGCTCTTACGATCTCTGTTACATACTACTGCTGATGATTTAATGCTGCACTATATCAAATATTTTGATTTATATTCGTTGTCACCCTAGCTTGTCACGATTATTCACATATGTTTTAGTATTCTTGATTTTCGGTTTTCATAGGTTGTTTGTTACACCTGAATTCAAGTTAATTATTTATTTAATTATTATTTGTTGACGTTCCTTCACATATTCACACACTTCCTTTTTTATAACACTGATTAAGGATCATTTCACCCCTTAGGGCTGTGCTAACACGCAACTCCTTTTACCCATTATTTTACTTGAGAACACATAATTAAATTCAACACATTGAGTATTTAATGTAATCACTGATTATACAACTATACCTTCAAGTGATCTAACCTTTAGCGCTTTGTTACAATTCCTTTATCTACTTTAAGGTGGTTCTCCTCCTTTTTATTTCATAGCCGCTTTAGGTTTAAGTGCATCTTAGATAGCTCCAGGAGCGCAGATTCTTTCTCTCATATAATTGCTGCCTGTGCTGACCCAGCCTCCCGGCCCCTCTCCTCACCTCCCTTTATGCAGCTTTGGATCTACTCTACCGGCATCCCATCCAAGATGGCAAGATGGTAAAATACATTAAATGCACATAAAATCTTATAGGGATATTATTTGCTGAAATGAATGGCCCGGCGACAGGGTCTCTGTAGGTGACAAAAAGGCAGACTCACACTTTTACCATAACCACATATATTAAAGTTTGTAGGTTTAGGAATATTCTCATCTCACCTTCATTCCACCCAGACATGACACCTAAGATGGTTGGCATCGCTTTGTACAGTTCATCTGCCTTTGAAACCCGTGGTATGCCGTCCTGGTCCCCAGATTCTGTAAGCTGTGGGGACTCCGGCCAGCTTTGGGCTGTATCACCTTCTTCTTCGTCTTCAACTTTAGGGCACAACATATCGTCAGGTGTTTGCGAGTCATCTTCCTGTAGTGTGCTCTCATCCTCCTGGATGATGCATTCAGCAGTACCACCCACAAGGTCACCTAGTGGTACAGATGCTATACATGCAGTTGTTAGGGCCTCTGGCATTAAACGTCTACGGTGCTTGCGAACATGCTCTGGTTTTCGTGAATGTTTTGTAAAAGGCCGCTGTAACCGTGAAGTTATAGGAGGAGGGTAATTGTATCCGGCAATAAAGCCACTGTGCTCTGCTGCTTCATGAATGTGCGTTGGACTGTATTCTGTCCTCCATCCTGCTGCATAAAGTCCAGTGCCATTGCTGCCATTGTCTTTGTCAGATAAGCTAAAGAAGCCATCCCTGTCTTTTTCATTAATGTCTAGTGATGATTTGATAAACATCTTACATACACTGATGACATCAGTCATTTGCAAGTAACTAGCTGCTGACATGACCTCAATGACATTCTGCCCAGACAGAGGCAATTTGCCAGAGTACACATAATCCAGGATGGCAGTGAAGGTGTCAGCAGAAAACACATCAAAAGTGGCTGTTGTAGGTTGGCTGAAATCCTTGCAACTTTGAGACAGTAGCATTTTGAAGTATCCGCTGTTTGCAAACAGGACATTTCGATGAGCTTTAAATGTGTGCCCTCCTACTGTAATGTGACAGTCGCAAAACAAGTCTCTCTTTCTTTGCTCATCCAACTGCTGCAGAAGACGAGTATGATGTGATGAAAAATCCATCCTTCAAAGGGCACTAATTAACAGAAGTAAAAGATTAGTAAACAAAATACAGGGGGGAAAAAAGTATAACTTTATAACATTTATAGAGGATTATTCATTAAAGGGTGAAGAGTTTGGAGAAGGCAGGAGAAGTGAACAATCTAGGACAGGGGTCGGCAACCCCCGGCACGCGTGCCCAGCTTGGCACGGGAGGCCACATCTGCTGGCACGCAAACTCATTTTTTTGTTCGCATTTGACATCGCATTTGCATCGCTCGAGCCGGCTGTCAAATTGAAGTCCCACCCACCTCCCTCACGTGGCCAGATGACGTTCATGCGCAGAGCCGCGCTGAGGAGGCCGTCGACGATCTGTTCAAGGTCCTGCCTGGTGGATTCTTTACGTGCAGCACGCAGGACGGAAGGAGGAGAATCGCTCACCCACCTGCCGGACTGAGCGGATCTTCTAATAGAGTTTATAAAGAAACGCATAGAAATGTTTAACAAGCCATAGGTGTTAACCCATGCACACCACTGTGCACGTTACTGCATGATATGTGTCGCACTGCAAAGGTGCATTAGAATTACGTTCAGAATTCATAAATACCACCACATCCCAATGGTTTGGATGGGCCCTTATTCAGTCCTGCACCTAATCTGGTGAGAAAATAGGATTTGTTTTGTACTTTCAACGTACAATCCTGTTCTCTGAGTTCATTGACAGGCATTCTGTTCTTCAGAACTGGGTTATATGGCCACCTCCAGGAGTAGGATGCTAGGTACAAAATAAAAGCTCTGCCTAGGGGTGGCCCCTGGTGGTTGTTAGACTTCCTTACTTCTTGAACAGCTCAATTGGTGAACAAGTAGTAAAAAGAAGAGTAAACCCTGAACATACACAGATACTCCTTACACAGCGACAGAGCTCAGTTCCTGCGACCAGGTTGTTCCAGCGAGGAATAGAGAGCTTTGAAGAGCTGGTTGTAAATCCAAACAGTTGATTACTTAGGTTTGCATACTGTAAATACACAAGTTCTTGTACAGTGTACTAGGGATGCACCAATACTAGTATCGCTATCGGAGCCACTACCAAGTATTGGGCCGAGTACTCGTACGATCTCCCTCTGACCAGCAGTGCAGAGGCAGCATGGACCTGGCTTTCTTTCCAATGAGGAAGCCGGGCGGTGGTTTATGACCTGCCTCCTGGTTGGCTAGCAAGCCAGCTTCAATTGTTGCTAGGCAGCCTGGCTTCCTAACCAATCAGGAAGTCGAGCGGCACCTCATGACCTGCCTCCCAGCCCCTTGATTGGTCAGGAAGCCAGGTTGCCCATCAACAAGTGAAGCCAGCTTCCTAGTCAATGAGGAAGTCAGGATGTGGGTCATGACGTGCTGCCTGGCTTCCTGATTGGCTAGGAAGCTGGCTTCACTTGTTGCTAGGCAGCCTGGCTTCCTGACCAATCAGGAAACCAGACGGCACCTCATGACCCACCGCCCGTCTTCCTGATTGGTCAGGAAGCAACGCAGCCTCGGGAAGTGAAGCTGGCGTTCTTTCGATAGAACACCGGCTTCCCAGGCAATCGGGAAGCTGGGCGGCAAGTCATGACCCGCCCCCCGGCTTCCTGATAATTGGGGCACACGACACCAGTATCGGTACCGAAAAACCGGTATTGGTGCATCCCTACAGTGTACAACACTGACCAGTGGGAGAGCGGAAGGGTTGAATATTTAAGTTTTCATATCATAAATACTAAAGTTCTTGTTCTGGTCGTACGTCCGAACAAACGTTAAACAGTGGCTGCTGTCAGAATACCGGACAGAGCTGGCAGCTTGCTGGCTGCTGGCTCTGTTCCCACATAGATTTTCTGACCGGCTCCTTCAATTAGCCTTTGATTCACACAGGTTTTATTATCGGTAAATGTAACCAATACCGAGAATTGGGAATATCCCCATAAGAAATTGTCTCTGGGACATCTCTCTTTTCATCTATTACAAAAATGGCGGTCATAAACAGGATGGTGTTTTTTGTACACAGGCGATGGAATAATAAAAAAAAAGACTTAAAGAAGAACTCCAGGATTGTGAAAACTTAACCCTTGCAGTAGTACTGCTTCCACCCTGGAAGGGTTAACTGTTCATTTTTCCCTAGCGGCCAAAAATAAAGAAGAAATACTCACCCGAAACTTGGTCTCATCTGGCTGCTAGACCTGTCCTCCCAGCCTCCTCGCCCCTGGGCTTCGGTGCTCCAAGGACCCGTGACGTCAAGTCGAATACAGTCCATTCACATGTATTGGACATCATGACGAGGGATATACCACATCTGGAGCAGAGGGGGAGAGAGGTGAGTGCTGACTGCCATAGGACCGAGGATCAGGTGAGTATTTCATTTTATTATCGCCCATACACAAAAGGAGCACTTAGGCATTGCAGTGAGGGGGTAGCCCCACGGCAAGGGTTAATTTTCTTCTTTAAAAGGAAGTTAGGGACTGATCCTTACAGTAATGACAAATGCCAGGTTCACACTAGGGTAATCCGTGAGCGCGTGACAATCGTGCGCGAAAGCGCGCAGATGGCCGCACGGCCATGGAATCGCGCACCACCGCCAATCGTGCTAGCAGTGCCATTATTTTCTAATGACACCCCAGTTGCGCCAGGCAAATCGCTTAGTTCCCTGCCGAGATAGCGCCGGTGCAATTGGGCAACGGTCGTGGTTGAAACAAACGTGTGGTGCGTGACGCAAGAAGAGGTAATCAATGGGGCCAGGCGGCAATTGCTGTGTGCAATCGTGCACGATCACACGTGTCCCGGGATTGCCGATATGTAAACCCGGCCTAAAGCACAATTAAAATTCTCTGGGCTGGGAGTCAGAACATTTGACAACAAAAAACCCACCAAAAATACTACAAAACGCTCATTGATGTTGCTATGGCTAAAGGTGCCTTACAATTATCTACCAGTTGATGGGAAGTGTACAACCTCAGTAACTGTACAACTGGCAGATTTTTGTCTTTCAGGCAGGCTGGAATACTTTTGTCTAATTGGTTGAAAATTGACAGGTTAGTGGCGTTGTTGTACAACAAAAATCTCAAGATGAAAACTGCATATGCTCAAATGACAATCTGTCCTTTCGATCAATGGAAATCGGCCCGGTGGAGGTACTGACGAGCGTTAATTGTGAACTACATTGGTCTGTGTATGATGGGCTAGTTGTAAGAAAATTAAACGAGGGTGAGATGTCTGCACAAAAAAAGTTGTACAATGGTTGTACTTGTAAAGTGTATGGCCACCTTAAGCCCTCGTTCACACCTGAACGTTTTGTAGCGCGTTCTACGCTCGACGAACGCTCTACAAAACGATCAAAAATATAAATCCCATTGTATTCAATGGTCTCGTTCCCACCTTGGCGTATTTCCGCCCGTCCCTAACGCGCTACAAAACGGCCCACGCCTGAAAAGGTACATGTACTACTTTGGGCCGTTTTGTTGCGCGTTTCCATTGGGATACAGCCAAGTAGCCTTCGGAAACGCGCGTTTGTTGCGCGACTTTAAAAAAACACGCGCCAGACGCGCATATGCAATACGCCTAGGTGTGAACGAGACCTAACTTTGAACAGATTTTCAGAGACCATCATCGGAAATTGTTGGTTAATTTAACAGAGAGAGAGAGCAACAAGGAACCTGATTACAAAATTACCCTGACAACAGAACACGCAAGAAGCACTGTTATGTCCTTCAATGCTAGTGTGATCTCAGCAATCCAGCCGTGGTGAAAACTACAAATCCCATGAGGCATTGCAAGCCTCTGACACCCACAGGCATGACTCCCAGAGGCAGATGCATGATGGGATTTGTAGGTTCACCACAGCTGGAGGGCCGAGGGTTGCCTAACCCTGTATTATACAACTTGAGTGTACTATCTTGAATACAGACTGGATGGATGGTTTAGGTTTGTCCTCATAACACACAGGTGATTACACACATTACAATCTGATTGTACAATCTCCTTTAGATTTACCAACAAGTATGTAGTGCTAGTGCCTGCCTTTGGTAGATCTATGCTTGTACGGAGATTGTATGGTCAGATTGTAACATGTGCGGTCGGGGACAGACTGCGGGTGGGGGGGCTTGGCGGCAGATGCTGCTGCAGTGGGACAGGTGGCTGTGTTACCCTCATTGACATGATCCGTGCAGAGCCGTATGGGGCCGCTTCCGGAAAGGACAGGTGCTGTGTGTGATTACATGCAGCAGCCTGTCCTTCTCTACTGGAGTACGCGGCCGTACGAGCACCCAAACTGCACGTCTGTGCGGGTGTCCATACTTGTACGCTGACAGGATGGATCCTGTCTGCGTCTGAGCAGGGACACCCGCACGGACATGCATTTCCCGGTGAGCGTAGGTGCGGTGTATGGCCGCGTACTCCCATAGAGAAGAACAGGCTGCTGCGTGTAATCACACGCAGTACCTGTCCTTCCTGGGAGCTACCTGATACGGCCGTGCCACCAGCACGGATCTGTACGGGCCGGCCGTTAATCGTGTCAGTGAGGGCTTAGAGCCGTGCTCTCAGTCCAATCCTGCAAGCTCACTGACGTTACTGATCACCAGGAGCTCGGTGGGACACCAGCCAGGGCGCCCAGCTCAGCTCCTTGGCAACAAATGACTTCAGGGAGATGGGCAGCAAGCCGGACAGAGCTTCACCGGTTAATAAGAACTCTTAGCAACTTGGGATGCTGTGGCCTCCCCCCACACCTGCCGGCCCCCATCTCAGGCTGCCTGATTATGGGGATGGCCCTGGTATTACTAACATGTTTCATGTGGATGCAGGCTTCGGGCATTTTTGCTGGCTGGCCTTGCAAGGGGGAGGAGCACAGTTGATCATGCAGAAAAAAAAAACACACACAAAAAAAAAGCGTATACTGGGGATTTCCAGGCACTTCCATTGAAGCCAATAACGCCTGATTACGTGAACTGCGTCAAGCTTTGCTCAGGCCTAAATGAGAACAGCTGCAATTTATAACAATGGGATTTTCAGATATTGCATGCTGGAAAATGTGCATTAAAACGTTACATGTGAAAGGGGCTTAGTGTGAATAGTCCATCACTTTTTAGAAGCCAGGCAACTAGTATTTTCAGAAAAGTAGATAAGCTATGGCAGCCAATAAATGTTCTTTGTACATGTTTCTTCAATTAGAGAAGCCAGACGATAAGCATGACAGCCAAACCACTAGCATCTTCCAAAAACACCCCAGCAGCACCATCACTGCTACTGCTGCAAAGCTGTCAGTCCACTCTGGCCATACTGTCCCAGGAGGAGTCTCTGATTGGCCCTGTCAGATGTCTATCAAAGCAGCACCTCCCTACAAGACCCATTTCTATTGGAAGGCTTCCTTGCCGGTAAAGGAGGGACAACCCCGGGCGCATACTACTGGTCCCGCTGCTTGTCACTCAAAGAGAGGCGGGATTTTTGCCACCGTGCATTTGCGATTGGTGGTCAGCGACGTCTATCATATTCCACACCCGTACCGGGAGATTCGGTGCCGCTTCATCTGCCTACCGGCGTAAAACATCCGGCAAGCGCAATCTCCTAGCCGAACTGCAGCATCTACCCCCCTTATGTTCCCCGCCATAGCCCGAGCGCTGGGTGACCCAAAAATGAAGGGCGCCCATGCATATAGCCACCTCCGTTATGTGTTATCAGAATGATGCGCTCCTTCACCACCACCGCCGCCTATCATCTATGTCAGCATGAGCATGGCAACCCAGGTCTAACAAAACCCCGCCCGAACCCGGGTCACCTCTCGGGCGGTACACCCTTTTGCTGAGAACGTCGTTTCCTGCACTGATGGCGTCCGTGCCACTCACCGAACACACCGCTTTTTTTTTTTTCGGGTGCTCGCCCGTTTCTGCGCTACTTCTCGCCCGCTTTTGGTTTCTCCGGTGTAGCTTCCGTCGCCCGAATGTCCGGACAAAGGCCGGTCACGTGACGACGCCCGAGGGCTGAGACTGTCTTAAAGGGGCCGCGCCTGGGGAGGGGGGCGAGACACCCGGAGGAGTGGCAGGAATTTTGCAGAATATACATGTGTAAACTGCGATAGTTGGCGGCATGTGTATACATGTACACAGAGATCCAGATGTGTGTGTATTCATAGCAGTGTAAACTCAACCTGCTGAGATGTACAGCGTGCTTCACAACATGACAGGAAGAGACCTACATGTATGTACACCAGAACACACGATGAGGATGTAGGCCTATACCTCATTCACTATCGTTTCCATCATGAATCATTATGTGACATGCTGATCACACATACATTGATGGTATTACATGAACTCTAGAACCAACTATATGAAGTCATATATTATTCATACATTGCCTAAATGGATAAGGGGCCAGTGCCTGACCCTCATTGTATACACCACAGGTCCGCATCCCTTTCTACATCAAGTGTCATTTCTAGAAGCAGTAGTCAACCAGTGTGGCAGAGAACTGTAACATGCCATAGCTGTAGAGTTTGCTTTTCATGTTAGCATTCATGGTTGTGCTGCAAACAGCAAGGTAAACTCATTCATTATATTAGCTGGTGCACAAAGTATGTTTATAATTAGATCTCAGATCAGCCCCAATGCGTGCACCTTCAGCCCTCAGGTCCGCCCCACTGCACGCACCTTCAGCCCTCAGGTCCGCCCCACTGCGCGCACCCTCAGGTCCGCCCCACTGCACGCACCTTCAGCCCTCAGTTCAGTCTCAATGCGTGCACCTTCGGACCTCAGCTCAGTCCCACTGCCTGCACCTTTGGACCTCAGCTCAGCACCAATGCGTGCACCTTCGGACCTCAGATCAGCCCCAATGCCTGCACCTTCGGACCTCAGATCAGCCCCAATGCGTGCACCTTCGGACCTCAGATCAGCCCCAATGCCTGCACCTTCGGACCTCAGATCAGCCCCAATGCATGCACCTTCGGACCTCAGATCAGCCCTAGTGCATGCACCTTCGGACCTCAGATCAGCCCCAATGCATGCACCTTCGGACCTCAGATCAACCCCAATTCCTGCACCTTCGGACCTCAGATCAGCCCCAATGCATGCAGCTTCAGAGCTTGGATAAGCTCAATGGCAAGCGCCTTCAAACCAAAGACAAACACCAGTACATGCCCTTTCAGAATTCAGATCAGCCCCAATGCATGCCCTTTCAGACCTCCAATCAACACCAATGCATGCTCTTTCAGACCCCGGATCAGCCCCAATGCTTGCCCCGTCAGACCTTGGATCAGCCCCAATCCATGCACCTTCAGACCTCGGATCAGCCCCAATCCATGCACCTTCAGACCTCGGATCAGCCCCACTTCCTGCCCCTTCAGACCTCGCATCAGCCCCAATACATGCCCCTTCAGACCTCGCATCAGTCCCAATCCATGCACCTTTAGACCTCACTGCAGCCCTAATCCATGCACCTTCCAGCCCTAATTTCCACACCATCAGACCTCGGATCAGCCCCAATTCCCACACCACCAGACCTCGGATCAGCCCCAATTCCCGCACCACCAGACCTCAGATCAGCCCCATTTTCTGCAACTTCAGACCTCGGATTAGCCCCAATTCCTGCACCTTCAGACCACGCATCAGCCCCAAACCATGCACCTTCAAACCACGCATCAGCCCCAAACTATGCACCTTCAGACCTCGCGTCAGCCCCAATCCATGCACCTTCAGACCTCGCGTCAGCCCCAATCCATGCACCTTCAGACCTCGCGTCAGCCCCAATCCATGCACCTTCAGACCTCGCGTCAGCCCCAATTTATGCACCTTCAGACCTCGCATCAGCCCCAATTTATGCACCTTAAGACCTCGCATCAGCCCCAATTTATGCACCTTAAGACCTCGCATCAGCCCCAATTCCTGTACCACAAGACCTCAGCTCAGCCCCATTTCCTGCACCACAAGACCTTGGCTTAGCCCCATTTCCTGCACCTTTAGATCTCAGATCAGCCCCAATTCCTGCACCTACAGAGCGTGGATGAGCCCAATGGCATGCACCTTCGAACCAAAGATAAACACCAATACATGCAGTTTCAAACCTCAGATGAGTCCCAATTTCCGCACATTCACACCTCAAATCAGTCCCAATCCCCGCACCTTCACACCTCGCATAATCCCCAATTCCCGCACCTTCACACCTCGGATCAGCTCCAATTCCCGCACCTTCACATCTCGGATCAGCCCCAATTCCCGCACCTTCACATCTCGGATCAGCCCCAATTCCCGCACCTTCACATCTCGGATCAGCCCCAATTCCCGCACCTTCACATCTCGGATCAGCCCCAATTCCCTCACCTTCACATCTCGGATCAGCCCCAATTCCCGCAACTTCACACCTCGGATCAGCCCCACTTCCCGTACCTTCACACCTCGGATCAGTCCCAATTCCCGTACCTTCACACCTCGGATCAGCCCCACTTCCAGCACCTTCACACCTTGCATCAGCCCCAATTCCCGCACCTTCAGACCTCGCATCAGTCCCAATTCCAGCACCTTCAGACCTCGGATCAGCCCCAAACCATGCACCTTCAGACCCCAATTCCTGCACCTTCAGCACTGTGAAAAGCCCTAATGCATGCACCTTCAAACCTCAGATCAGCCTCAATGCATGCACCTTCAGACCTTGGCTTAGCCCCAATTCCTACACATTTAGACCTTGGATCAGCCCCAATTCCTGCACCTTCAGACCACGCATCAGCCCCAATCCATACACCTTCAGACCTCGCATCAGCCCCAATCCATCCATGCACCTTCAGACCTCGCATCAGCCCCAATCCATGCACCTTCAAACCTCGCTTCAGTCCCAACCCATGCCCCTTCAGACCTCGCTTCAGCCCCAATCCATGCACCTTCAGACCTCGCATCAGCCACAATCCATGAACCTTCAGACCTCGCATCAGCCACAATTTATGCACCTTCAGACCTCGGATAAGACCCAATTCCTGTACCACCAGACCTCGCTTCAGTCCCAATCCATGCACCTTCAGACCTCGCTTCAGCCCCAATCCATGCACCTTCAGACCTCGCATCAGCCACAATCCATGAACCTTCAGACCTCGCATCAGCCACAATTTATGCACCTTCAGACCTCGGATAAGACCCAATTCCTGTACCACCAGACCTCAGCTCAGCCCTATTCCTGCACCTTCAGACCTTGGCTTAGCCCCAATTCCTACACCTTTAGACCTCAGAACAGCCCCAGCTCCTGCACCTTCAGAGCTTGAATTAGCCCAATGGCATGCACCTTCGAACCAAAGATAAACACCAATGCATGCAGTTTCAGACCTCAGAACAGCCCTATTCCTGCACCCTCAGAATTTAGAACAGCCCTATTGTACGCACCGTTAGACCCCAGAACAGCCCTATTGTACGCACCGTTAGACAGCAGATCACAAGAAATAATATTAACTATAGAAATAAATCTGGTGCTGAGAGAAATACAGATGATGCCATGGCTGATCTCCTTCTGAATATGCTAGCTGCCTGGTAGACATTTTGATGCTTTGACTTCAGTAATTTGTTAAGACACTCACCTGGAACATGCATGAAACTAGTGTGGCCAAAACTCCTAATGTTATACTTGCTCTGGGTCAGTGTCTTAGAAAGTATTGAAGCCAGTGAGTCAGCATTACAGCCAGACAACTATCAGTTTCAGAAGGGAAGCTCTGCATACTTCTCTCGGTACAGGTTTTGCTTTTACCATGCCCTGTACACCACACACTCTCATTTTGCCATGCCCCCAATTCAGCCTGTGCCTTAAGAACCCACATTTTATATCCACCTTGGGGCAACAGGGGAGCAGGGATGAGGTAAGTAAATCTGCTTCAAAGAATACCCCTAGACATAAATAAGCAGTTAACCCTTGCAGTGAAGGGGTAGCCCCACTGCAAGAGGGGGTGGGGGTGTCTGCCAGAGATAGGCTTGTAAAGCTTATATAAGATTTTTGTGCCTGGGTTTAGATCTACAGTACTTAAGATGATGACTCTGGGGAATGTAATTGGTAAGAACAGCGTGAGCTATGTGTAATGTCTTAAAGAGGTCTTGTCAGTTGCCAAAAAAAAAAATGAAATGCCAGTTCTCTGCAATAAACAAGCTAATATATTCACCTTTCCTATGTCACCTACCATCAGTCTGTCCAGCTTTGCAGTCTTCGTCAAACTCTCCTAGGGGTGTCAAATACCTGCCCCCCACCCACTGCACAGTGCGGCTCTTTACTTTTACCCATATGTCACTGCTGTGTTCTATAATGACCTAAAGGTCAGAGGCAGGAACCACAATGCGAAGGAACCACACAGCAGGGAACACAGGCATGATGTAGGCATGTTATGAAGAGCTGAATTCATTGCATTCAGTTTTTTATTTGGGGTGGGGTGAGTTGCAACAAAAGTGGGTTTTAGATAAGGTCTGCTATAAAGTGTACACAAGTAGGTAAATTTAGTAACGGTTGGAAATATGTTGCTTTAGTCCTGTCTTGCACACATGCAGGTCTTTGAACTGCGCATTGATAGATTAGCCTCTCTTCAATGAAAGCATATCTTCATTGAAGAAGAAAAAAAATATACATGTTGCAGTTTATCAGTGCTATGATTGGTGGCTGCATTCATTTTCTTTCTTTCCAGGTATTTTCCTTTACTTTTACCTGGTATTTCTGCAAATAACATACTGTATGTCCCTGGGTGGCCATGTTCACTTAATCCACTGTACCTATGGAGGAAGATGAGATTGTTTCTGTTTGAAGTTCACTTCATTGTACTTACTGATAATGTTCTAAGCCTGAAAACAGAAAACTAACCACATCTAAGGACTGGTAAGTTGCAATATATTACATTTTTGTTTTTGGGTTTGGATATCCTTCATGTTTGTGTAGAGAAACAGGGCAGTGCCCAAAGTGGCAAGTGTGTAGGTGGCCATCTTGGTAGAGGCAGGGTTTTGCTTTCTCATGTCCGAGCCTCCATTAAGAAGACCAGTGTGTACACTAATGACATCACCAAACCTCACTTCAGATCTCCTAAAACAAGTGGCAGTA